AGAATTTATGGGAAATTTTGAACCAATGTAAGTAAATATACTCTAACATGGGGAGCTGTCATAAAACAAAACTACTATCTTTCTGTCACTGGAAGTATTTCATGAGGGAATGGAATTATGGAGAGATGATTCCCTCTAAGTGTTGCATTTTGGACTTGATATCTACAGAAGCCTCTTTCAAATCCAAGGTTTTGTCTAATTTCCTCCTACTGCTTTACCTACTTAATCCATAAAAATGCAAAACATGTATTTTGATGTCCTTCTCCCTACACTGACTTTTTTTTTCTCTCAGATTCAGATATGTCATCTCTAAATAACTACAGCAAGTACATTTACTACTATTATTAACGTAACAGAATACTACTTTATCTTTCAGAATTCAGATAGAGGGGGTCATTAGAAATACGCTCTTACATCAGACTAATACTGCTAATCATAATGTACACGATTTTTGAGTCTTTTTTTAGTTCTAGTCTGAAAACAAATGCCACCAGGAAAATATTCACATGATATATTTCTGGTCAGCGTTCACAAACAGTATGCTCAAAAACATTAAGAGACTTTGGTTATATTCTGTAACATTCTTTCAGGAAGTACATAGGGCTTTGAACAGCTGCTATTGATTCTTTTTTTTTTTTTTTCTAAATTGCTATTTTGAACTGAGTGAAGGTTTACAGAGATGATGATCAATTTTTCTTTCAGCAAACCATACACAGTATTTCATCTCAATGATTGCCATCCCTTCCATGTAACAAGTTATCCCACTTCCTCCCTGTGGTTCTTATTTCCACTCCATCCTCCTTCTCATCCCTTCTCAACTTGATCCTTAGGTGAATGGTGCACTTTTGATCTGGAATTATTGACCATTCCATGGTGAACATACCTTACTAGTGCTGTTGTCTCTACTATATACCTAGATATCCCATGCGAGTATAGTTTTGCTAAAGGTAATACAGAAACGGCTGCAAGCATACCTTGACAGAGAACTTCCAGAGGTTCAAGCCGGATTCAGAAGAGGCCATGGAACGAGGGCTATCATTGCTGATGTCCGATGGATCTGGCTGAAAGCAGAGAATATCAGAAAGGTGTTTACCTGTGC